AAACCTTGCCCCTTGTCAGCCCCATTATACACCTGGGAATTCAGATCATACACATAAAGTTATTGGTCCACTGTCTGCCAGCCCTATACATGTAGAACCAAATTTTTAAGGACCTTGACAATCCAGTTTTTTCTTTTTGAAAAATTAATGAAACACTTAACAGTCACATTTTAAAATATTACATTGGCATCAGTGTATAAAATGAATTAGAGGTGAGAGGGACTGAAGTGAGATTGTCTAGCCAGGATGCTATAGTGACAATCCAGGTATGAAAAAATGGCAGTAAGAATGGAAGGATGGAAGAGACATGAGAATAATTAAGAATAAGTAGTTTATGAAATGGGAGCTCTGATGGCATGTGGCTAAGGCATTTGACTGCTAACCAGAAGGCTGGTAGTTCAAAGCCACCAGCTTCTCTTCAGAAGGAAGATTGGACAATCTACTTTCATAGAGATACCGCCTCGGAAACCCAAAAAGGGAGTTGCTATGAGATGGGATCGACTAGACAGCAGTGAGGTGTTTTGTTTTTTTTTTTTTTTTAGTTTATAGCATAGACACCAAAGTGAGTAAAATGTGATCTAGTGACCCTGGGGGCTTGAGGAGGAATAGGTGACTGGAAGAATGAGGGTGTCATGGTCAGAAAGGAAGCAGTTGAGAGAAAAAGAAGGAAGGAGAAAGGTGGTAGGGCGAGATGAAGTGAAAACTTGCTGATCTCTGAGGTAAAAGAAGATGAGTTTGGGGTGAAATATATGTTGTATGAGGTTGGAAAGTACAGGAAGAGCTTTTAAACATAAAAATGATAATTTTCAGGAAATGCAGGTCTTATAGAGATAAATGAATTGTTTTCCCAAATTAGTTGGTATGTTTATGGATAAATGTCACTTATTGCAAGAATAAGGCATGATTCAGTGAAAATTCAGTTTCTGCTTCTCATTTCTGTTGACTTAGGGATTGAGAAACCTTATTCACATAAATAACTAGATGAGAACAAAAGAGGTTTTATTATAGTAAAGTCACTCAAGTCTTTGAATTAAATTTCAGTTATAAGCCAAAAATCAGAGTGATCTGTTATCAAAAATTATTTTTGGTGATTTATCAGCTGACATACTGATTAGGCCCTTCTTTGGTTCTGTTGAAAACCATGAACTGGAAACCAACTTGGAAAAGGATATGTTACTCAGCTGATGAGGCATTGACATGGATATTTTGAGTTGTTATTTTGCTTGGTAGCTGTGTTTGCTCCCTGGGACAGTGCACCATGGTCAGATTTGGGATGTAGGAGGGGTTCTGCCTTTTTAAAATGGAAGAAGGCCTCCTAAGGAAGTGAGGGGAGAGAGCTTACCCCTCCACCACAGATGCCTTCTGAGGAGGATCCAGTATGGGAAAGAACAATAAAAATGGCCATTGACAGTCTGGAAATAGATTCCTTTGAGGTCATCTGTGCCTGTTCACCTCTTGGATAGTCTTTATGTATCCCCAGGGCCATGTGTGTGTACGCACTATGAAGACTGTTCATCTAGAGTAGAGCTCAGAGCAGTCAGGTAAAATACAGGCCCTTTGCAAACACACAGGGACTTAGGTAGGGTCAGTGGCCAGATTGGACCATGGGTGTGTAGACAGAAGCTGGCCCTGGGCTCCTTGACCAGCTGTCACCCCAAGTAGAATGACCTTATTCCTGCCTACTACAGGTGGCAGCAGAAAGTCCATACTTTTATCAATTGAGGCTGGTTTTGGAGAGGGAATGAAGCCTATTTTGGAAAAACAGACTCCTAGAGAACCTTTGGCAAAGCAGCCAGACCCAAGGCATGGCCCTTGGCAGAAGCTTAACTTTGTAAACCACAGAACACATTTTATCAGTGAATGAATTTTCATTTTACTATATCACAGTGTTTTTTACTTTTGCATTATCATTGGAGCTAGGCTTTGTAAAGGCCACTTTCAACTGAACTTTTTTGGTTTTCCATTCTTCGTGCCACTGACTTTTCACCAATTTGGCCCCTCTCTGAGTCTACCCCAATGATACTCCATATACACTTAGATTATTTCACTCAATGACACTCAAGTAATTTTTGTTTTGTGCCTATTTATCCATTTAGACTACAAGACACAGTGAAGTGGTTATTAGCCAAACATCATTTGCCTATCAATGAGAGAGCTCTCCTTCCACTTTACAAAATAAGGGCAAATCTTTGGATTTAACAAAACTGGATTCTAAGTGCTGGACTCTTGTTTGTCCCAAGACATGGCCAGTGTATCTGATAACTTAAGAATTTTCTATGTTTGCTCTACCAACTAGATAAAAATGAAGGCCATTTCAGCCTGTAATCAGATAACATTTTGTTATACACTAATTTATCCCCTGATAGCTTTGTGCATAGTTACTTTGATCAGGTGGATATGAGCTAATCATAGATAAATGCAGATTGGTATGGATTTCATGGGTTGTCCCAATTATTACTTCCTTAGGAAAATTGTAAACCTAAGAGCAAAGGTGGTAAGTACCATCTCTTGTGGCCCCACAACTCTTGGCATAGGAATGTATCAATAGATAAGCAAATAGCTTCTGAGAATAGAAAGAGCTCTGGTGGCATAGGTGGATAAGGCATTTGACTGCTAATTGAAGGTTGGTGGTTCAAACCCACCAGCTGATCCACGGAAGGAAGACTGGGGGATCTACTTCTATAAAGATTTACAGCCTTGGAAACCCAATGGGGGTCACTATGAGTCAGAAATGACTCGATGGCAGTGAGTTTGGTTTTTGCTTTTGGGTGGACTAAGTATTTTGTGCTCACATACTAACCTAAAAGTTGGTTGTTTGAACCTACCCAGCAGTTCCATGGAGGAAAGGCCTGGCAAACTGCTTTCATAAAGATTACAGCCAGGAAAAAGCTATGGAGCAGTTCTACTCTGTAACACATGGGGTCATGATGAGTTGGAATGAATTCAATGGCAACAGATAGTAACTACATCAATTCTCTCAACAGCCATGTATAGTAGGTGGCACCTCATCATTGATAGCAATGGCACAGAAGCTTAATGGAATAATGAGAAAGATGTGGACTTTGGAACCAGACAGATGTGGTTTGTTTGCACAGGTCCTTTCACTAATCATGTGGCCTAGGGAAATAGCACTACCTCTCTTTTTATTTCCTCAAAAGTAACCAAATGAAGGAGAAGAGGAGGAGGGAGGGAGAGAGAGAGGGAGGGAGAGAGAGAGGGAGGGAGAGAGAGAGAGAGAGAAGAACGACTGGAAGGAGAAGGTGAAGAAAAAGAAAAAGGGACTGGTCCTAAAGCTTGACTGATTGTTAAATTACCATATGTGGCTAGTAACTACAATACTGGACAACACATAACTAAATAATGATCTTAAATGGCTGCTAATATCTTAGGAAAAAAAGAGACCTTCCCTGGTGAGACAACACAGCACAGCTTGAGTGATCTTGCCAAAAAAATTGAATCTGAAATCAATTAAGCTTCTAGATTCACCTACCAAATTTCAAGAAATAATAGAAGAACACATTAAATACCACTTGGATGTACTTAGCAAAATCACTGCTGTCGAGTCAGTCCCGACTCATAGTGTCTGCTCCTTGGGTTTCCAAGGTGATATCACTACGGAAGTAGATTGCCCAACCTTCCTTCCGAGGAGTGGCTGGTGGGTTTGAACCACCATCCTTCTGGTTAGCAGTCAAATGCCTTAGGCACTACACCACCAGAGCTCCTTAGACTGTGGAAAATGCCATCAAGCAAAAAATTCAATTTCTCAACAAATGAATTACAAAGATAAATAAAGGATGGGAAGAAACCATGGATTTAAAGATACTTAAGAGGCAACAGCAAATTGCAATTTGTAGACCTTATTTGACTCAAGATTCTAACTGAAAACAAGAATTACTACATTTCTGAAACAACTGACATTGTGAATACTGACTAGATACTTGACACTACTAAGGAATTTTTAATTAATTTTTTAGATTGGGGTTGTATTTTTTAAAGAGTCCTTTTTTTAGAAATATATACAGAAATATTTGTGGATAAAATGTAATATGTGGAATTTCCTTCAAAATAATATAGAAGGGGACAGATAGCTGGATAGTTTATGTCTGTTTTATTCACAGCACTGTCATTTCAGTGGAGCTTTCAGAAGGATGCAGATTCATAAACACATGAGTTCAGTATGCTGGGTTTAGGCCGTTTTATTGGATGCAATTTAGTAGAATGCATAAAACTCCAAAATGTTTATATCCTTGGCCCAGGCTTTCTGGTTGCAGATAACCTAACTTGCATAAATAATTCAGTTTTTGTATAAAGTTATGTGTCAAAGATACAAGGACATTGACTTTAGCATAGATTGCAATAGTGAAAAATTGGGCATTGTCAGTGCCATCAATAAAGAAATGGCTAAATTAACTGTGCTAGGTCTCTATTACAGAACACTATGCAGCAGTCAAAAAGGAGGCTGTTAACCTTAATGCACAGATCTGGAAAGATTTCTTAGAAATATTATTAAGTTTAAAAGGTGAATTTGTATCACATTTGATACCACATGTCTTCTTTAAACCACCACTTGTCTGTCAGTTTGTCATACTGTGGTAGCTTGCATATTGCTGTGATGTTGGAAGCTATGCCGTGGGTATTTCAAATACCAGCAGGGTCACTCATGATGGATAGGTTTTAGCACAGCTTCCAGACTAAGACAGACTAGGATGAAGGACTTGGTTGGTCCACTTCTGAAAGAACTGGCCGCCGAAAGCCTTCTGAATAGCAGTGAAACAGGGTGGCACAGGACCGGGCATTGTTTCATAGGGTCACTATGGTCTGTCACAGGGCTTCAGTCAAGGTGTCAGCTGGGACTGCAGCTAACTCAAGGCTTAACCAGGAGGTGATTTGCTTCCAAGCTCATTCATGTGGCGTTGGTGTCATTCATGTCCTCTAAGGCTGTTGACTGGAGGCTTCCCTTACTCCTTGCTATGTGAACCCTTTTGTAGGGATCTCACAATATGGCAGCCTACTTGCTTCTCCTTCAGAGCAAGCAAGTAAGGAGATCCAGAGAGAGAGTGAGCAAGATGGAAGCCACAGTCTTAGGTAACTGAATCTTAGAAGTGTCATCTCATCACTTTTGCTGTATTCTGTTTGTTAGAAGAACGTCACTAGGTCCAGCCCTCACTTAAACAGAGATTATTACACAAGGGCATGAATACCAGGAGGCAGGGATTATTGGGGGCCATTTTTAAAACTACCTACTACTATGATTAATAGTTGTCATGTTGTCAGAAGGGACCATTCCTGGAGAAGGATGTCACGCTTGGTAGCGTGGAGGGTTGACGAAAGACGGGGAGGCCTTCAGTGAAATGGATTGACATAGTGGCTGCGATGATGGGCTCAAGTGAAGCAGGGATAATAGAGCTGGCACGGGATTGGGCAATGTTTCGTTCTGTTGTGCATGGGGTCGCTATGAGTCAGAAATGACTTGACGGCATCTAACAACAACAACTACTACTACTATGATTAAAACATAATTCTAAGGGGTGTATAAGCAAATTCAGAAGAAAAGATTTTTCTATTATAACTAAAAAAGGACTTCAGACGAATACATCTCTTAAACAAATGGTTCTTAAGCACAGTTCCTAAATAATAGTAGTTTTCTTTCTTTTAACTTTTCAGTTTGAAATAATTTCTAACTTAAAGTTGCAAGAATAGAAAAGAACCCCACATGCCCTTGATCCAGATTCCACACTGGTCAGTAATTATATTTTGAATGCATAAGAAACTTGTCATGTAGGAGGGCAGTACTTGTAACCACCAAAGCTTTGGAGTCTGATGAGAGGTTTGTGACATGGGCTGAGTCATTTGTGTCTGCATATGCAGTTGTCATTTCTTAAATACTCTCTTCTTTGTTCTCCAGAAAATCCTGAGCGAGCTGCCCTGTATTTTGTCTCTGGCGTATGCATCGGACTGGTCCTCACCTTGGTTGCCTTGGTAATGAGAATATCTTGCCATACAGACTGCCAGCGGCGCTCCCCCCAAGGAAAGTTCCCACAGGACCGAGAAAGTAGCAGTGAAAGCAGCGACAGTGAGGACGGCAGCTCCGACACCGCATCTGACCTCTCGGTCCGGAGACATCGCCGCTTTGAGAGGACTTTGAACAAAAATGTCTTCACCTCGGCTGAGGAGCTGGAGCGGGCCCAGCGACTGGAGGAGCGGGAACGCATCATCAGGGAGATCTGGATGAATGGCCAGCCTGAGGTGCCTGGGACCAGAAGCCTGAACTGCTACTACTAGAGAGCTGCAGAGGAGCACAGGATCCCCAGCCTGCACAGCTAGGAGCCACCTGGAAAAGACAGGGTCTGCAAGAGGGTGGGTGGGGACAGGGAACTGAACCCAGTTCTGCTCATAGACACAAGCAGATGGGAAAGGAACAAATGCCTGGCTTTTCGTTACAGTAGCAGAGGAAAGCAGGACAACCCATTTTTCTAGCCAGGAAGGCTTATTTCTGCTCCTTTTTGACTAAACATAAGGAGAAGTAGAAAAACCAAGTCAGTTCATCTACCTTGCCAGGTCTTGGGAAGGTGTTGGAACACTGTCTCCAACAATGTGGAGACACATTTAAAAAAATGGGACTGTGGTTTCTCTGGATTTTGGAGGCTCTTGGGAGTTTCTACTGATTTCATTGCTATGTCTTATTCCTTTGCAAAAGGAAAGGTTGTTATAGCATGAGGGCTAGGGATAGCAGGGTGAACTTAACCCAGTAAATACAGTTTTCTAAATGAATCCATGCTATGGAGGTAATTTTGATCCAGATAGCATGAACCATGCTTATTATTTATAGCTAATTTTTTAATCTTGTGTTGCAGGGGCAACCCTGTCTGTTTTAACTGGCACCTCAGGGCTTAAAATCCTATTTTTTAGTGTATTACCCACCTCATTCATGAAAAGGAATAGAATTATTGTATTATGGGAGATGTGTCAGTGAGCTATAAAATGTCAATAACCTCAAAGGATGAAGGGTTTTATTTTAAATAGTTTTTTAAAAAATATATTAATATGTATATTTGAAAATGCTGCATAAGAATAAATGTGTTTTTTTTCCCCTCTTCTGGAGAGAATACAGTTTTCTTATAACTCCAGATAAACATAATTTTAAACATTTTATGTAAAAACCCAAGTAACTTTGAATTTCCAAGAAAGGAATAGAAATGGGGAGAAGGTGAAGAATAAAGCCAAAATTAGGATGGGGTGAAAAATAAATGTTACATTAAACTCTTCTTTGTTTTCTGGCTATCTCTGTGGTTTGATTGCTTACGTTAAATGACAACCCTATTATGTAGGTAAGTATGGTCCATAATTTGTTATCTTTGGTGGTTTATGCATAAATTTGAATAATAGTAGTATTAACTCATTAGCCAGTAAAGGTACACTGCCCTTCAAGGATCTAAATGAAGATAGTTTCCCCAAGCGACCGTGTCCTTTTCATTCTCTGCTGGTCTCTCTGCCATGATCTCAGTGCAGGGATCTCAGGTCAAGGATGCACTCCACTCCTGTTTTCACATTTTAGGTATCTGTTAGAGCAGCACCCTAATCTCTTAGTACCAAATTCTGTTTTGGTTCTCTAGTGCTGCTCTAACAGAAAATAAAGTGGATGACTGTAACAAACAGGGATTTAGTATCTTACAGTTTAGCAGACTACAAGTCCGAGTTCAAAGTGACAGCTCTAGGGATTGAGTGAAGGCCCTTCGACCTTCGGCTTCAGCTCTGCCTCTTGCTCCTGGACCACTGGAACTGGAGACATCTCTTAACTCAGGTAGCTGCTGGCTACTGAGGCTGACCAACTCAAGATCAGCAAGTAAAACGGCACAGTCCTAAGATTATCAAGCAACATGGCGGGCCACTAGAAATAGTCCAAAGATCAACAGGCAACATAGCAGGCTGCTGAATGAAGACTCAGCTAAATGCAGGATCCAAGCATGCCAAAAAGCTCCAGACCATTCTCAAAACTTCTCCTTATATACTGGAAGGCAACCACATCCCTAAGGCAGCTACTCAGCTGCTCACAGCACATTCCACTATGGAGTTGATTAGCAGTCTTTTCATGGGGAATCACTACATCCAACTGCCCAGCCTCTCAAAACCAGGCCCAGCCAAGTTAACACCGCCTTAACTACCACAGCTCCCTTTTCTTGCCATGGGGTAAGTTCCTTATTGGGCTTATCTGGAAGCAATAACATTCCTACAGTGATCTCTCTTGTCTATTGACTTCATAATCAGGAAGGTGTTCAGGAGACTTCCTCTGCTGGAGTCTCTCTTGCTCTAGCAACTCACCTTCTGTTATAGGGGTTGGAAGGCTGTTTTAAAATTGAACAATCACAAATCTCTATTTGCCAAGTGGGCAGTACAATTTGTTTGAAACTATGAGTGACCTCATTTTGGATGGCTTCATTAGCCAGTAAAGGTACCAAAAATCTCATTAAATCAGGATCTCTGAACCCTTAGCAGACTTTAGATTCTCCTAGACTTTAGATGGGGAGCTCTGTTAGCATAGTGGCTAAGACACTTGCCTGCTACCAGATGGCTGGCGGTTCAAACCCACCAGCCACTCCTCGGAAGGAAGGTTGGGCAATCCTACTTCCGTAGTGATACTGCCTCAGAAACCCAAGGAGGGGTCGCTATGAGTCGGGTTTGACTCGACAGCACATAACGACAACAACAGACTTTAGATGAATATAATCCATTTTGGTCTGTGTCTCTTAAAAACATCAGACAATTTGGAGCTGACTTAATCTCCAGGATGCATCCAAGATGGATTGTTGTTGTTCTTGTTAGGTGCCATCGAGTCGTCTCCGACTCATAGCCACCCTATGAACAGCAGAACGAAATACTACCCTGTCCTGTGTCAGCCTCATGATCCTTGCTATACCTGAGTCCATCATTGCAGCCTATGTCATTCCATCTCATTGAAGGCCTTCCCTTTTTTCATTGATCCTCCACTTTACCTAGCATGATATCCTTCTCCAGGGAATGGTTCCTTCTGACAACATGACCAAAGTAGGTGAGATGAAGTCTGGCCATTCTCACTTCCAAGGAGCATTCTGGCTGTACTTCTTCTAAGACAGATCTGTTAGTGCTTTTAGCAGTCCATGGTAGTCAGCATTCTTCTCCAACACCACAGCTCAAATACATCCACCTTTCTTCGGTCTTTCTTATTCATTGTCCAACTCTCACATGCATGAGAGGCAACTGAAAACATCATGGCTTGGGTTAGGCATACCTTAGTCTTCAAGGAGACATCTTTGCTCTTCATCATTTGAAAGAGGTCTTTTGCAGCAAATTTGCCTAATGCAATACATCATCTGATGTCTTGACTTCTGTTTCACTAGTGTTGATTGTAGAATCAAGTAATATGAAGTCTTTGACAACTTCAGTCTTTTCCTGGTTTATTGTGAAGCAGTTTATTGGACCAGTTGTGAGGATTTTTGTTTTCTTTATATTGAGGTGTAGTTCATATTGCAGACTGTAGTCTTTAATCTTCATCAGTAAGTGCTCCAAGTCATCCTCACTTTCAGCAAGCAAAGTTATATCATCTGCATGTCTCAAGTTATTAATGAGTCTTCTTTCAATCCTGATGCCATGTTCTTCTTCATATAATCCAGCTTCTCAAATTATTTGCTCAGCATACAAATTGAGTAAGTATGAGGAAAGAATACAATCCTGACTCACTCTCTTCTTGATTTAAAACCATGTAGTATCCCCCTGTTCTGTTTCAGCAACAGACTCCTGATCCATGTACAGGTTCCTCATGAGTACGATCAAGTCTTCTGGAATTCCTATTCTCAATGCTATCTGTAATTTGTTATGATCCACACTATTGAATGCTTTTGCATAGTCAATAAAACATAAGTAAACATCTTTCTGGTATTCTTTGCTTTCAGCTAAGAAATGTCATCCGACATTTTCAGCTAAGCTGATGTTATCTGACATCCCTTATTCCATGTCCTCTTCTGAGTCCAACTTGCATTTCTGGAAGCTCTCTGTCAATATACTCCTGCAACCGTCTTTGAATTATCTTCAGTAATATTTTACTTGCATGTGATATTAAAGATATTGTTTGATAATTTCCACATTCTGTGGGATCATTTTTCTTTGGAATGGTTACAAATATGGATCTCTTCCAATCAGTTGGCCAGGTAGCTGTCCTCCATATCTCTTGGCATAGCCCAGTGAGTGCCGCCAGTGCAGCATCCATTTGTTGAAACATCTCACTGGGAGTTCCATCAATTTCTGGAGCCTTGTTTCTCACCAGTTCCTTCAGTGCAGCTTTGACATCTTCCTTCAGTACCATTGGTTCTTGATCATATGCCACCTCCTGAAATGGATGAAGATTGACCAGATCATTTTGGTACAGTGACTCTGTGTATTCTTTCCATCTTCTTTTGATTTTTCCTGTATCATTCAATATTTTGCCCATAGAATCTTTCAGTATTGCAACTCAAGGCTTAAAGTTTTTCTTCAATTCTTTTAGCTTAAAAAAATGCCAAGGGTATTCTTCTCTTTTGGTTTTCTAACTCTAGGTCTTTGCACATTTCATTATAATAACTGGCTTTGTCTTCTTGAGCTGCTCTTTGAAATCTCCCATTCAGCTCTTTTATCTTGTCATTTCTTCCATTTGCTTTAGCTACTCTCCACTCAAGGACACAGTTCAGAGTCTCTTCTGACATCCATTTTGGTCTTTTCTTCCTTTCTCATCTTTTTAATGACCTCTTGGTTTCTTCAAGGATGATGTTCTTGATGTCATCCCAAAATTCTTCTGGTTTTCAGTCATTGGGGTTCATTGCATCAAATCTATTCTTTAAATTGTCTCTAAATTCAGGAGGGATATTATCAAGGTGATATTTTGGTTCTTGTGGACTTGTTTTAATTGTCTTCAGCTTCACCTTGAACTTCCATATGAGCAGTTGATGGTCTGTTCCACAATCAGCTCCTGGCATTGTTTTGGCTGAAGATCTTGAACTTCATCGCCTCTTGCCACAGATGTAGTCAATCTGATTCCTGTGCATTCCATCTGGCGAAGTCCAGTGTATAGCCACTGTTTGTTGGAAAAAGGTATTTGCAATGAACAAGTCAATGATTGGTCTTGCAAAATTCTATCATGTGATCTCCAGCATTATTTCTATCACCAGGCCATATTTTCCAATTACCAGTGACTCTTATTTGTTTCCAACTTTTGCATTCCAATCACCAGTGATACTCAGCACATCTTGATTGCATGGTCTGTCAATTTCAGATTG